TGGAATATAGTTAATCTAGTATGGTGACAAAGAATTCTGCGCAGCCTATATTATGGCATGAGGTTGAACCTCATGATTATGGGAAAGTTATCTGGAATAATCAGCTTTTGAGTTCATTGATAATGTATGTGTTTGTGGCTCGTTCTCAATTGATTGCCTTGATAAGTTGACCATCAAGACAGTTTTGTCTGATTATGTGGACCTATTTTGATCTCACTGCATTTGTCATGAAGAACTCATGCTATGAAAATTTTAAAAGTTAAGCACATAACTGATTGGGGCAACCTCGGAGTCTATTGTCCTCTAGAAGGAAACTAATTATCTGCCTTGCCATATTTACGCAGACTGTTCGTTTTAAAAATGAGCTAGAAAGAAACATCACAATTAAGCTTGGATATGCTAATGCTAAGATATATAAATGTGAAGAAGATCGCTGCCCTAGACCCATGTGCTACAAGTAAGTACTTGAAATTGAGATGGAACTGATTCTTGTGCTCATTTGGTTGCTTTTGTGTTGTAACAATATCCTTTTTCAGGGCATACGGAAGTGGAAAAGAAGACAGTCCAATGTGTGATGTCCCTGGTTTCGAGAACTGTAGGATGAAATTGCTGAGACATGTATCGTTTGTTGATTGTCCTGTAAGTTTCTCACCTACCATTTATGGTATATATTACAGCCATTTTTACTTCAGTATTGGGTCGCTAGAGAGGATGATATGTGTGTCTGATCTCATGCGGATATGATTATTCCAATGAAAATCTTAAGCTGCATAATTTAGGTAATACACCAAAATGAAGGTATCAAAATATCTTTAAATGGACCACTACTGTTTTATTTTCTGAAGTTCTCCATGTTCTGTCACATCTTTAGCATTCATGCTACTTGCAGTTCCGAGTAGCCCTGTCTTGGATTTAACGAAAGACTAGGAAATTTTGTTTCCCTTAGTTTCTGGCTCTTAATTTCCTCTTGGGCTTTAATCTAGTGGTAAGAGCTTAGCGCGTGATGTGTGGCTTAGGGGAACATCACGGGTTCGAGCCCTGCCACAGACAAAAGCCTGATATTTAAATGGAGAAGGGTAGAGGGGCTGACCCATTCTTGACCGAGTTCCTAACCATGTGCCACTGGTACTTGAGGGCTTCTCAGATATAAAAAAATTGCCTATACGAAAGGAGAAAGTTTCTGGCTCCTATTTAGTCTTTGTCTTCAGAACTGGAATGCCTTTTCTAGGAATGAGCAGGTTCAGTTATGTTGGTCTTTATCTAAAGAATAGTTGGTGAATCTCATATCTGCATTTATTACCTCCCTGAGAATCTGCAAATGTTTTTTTATGATCTCAGTTTTTTTTGGATGTATAAGCCTGTGAGCATGCAGTAGAGCTTTTTACCTCATTCGTTTATGTGGAGAGATTCTTTCTTAGGCAGATTACTTTCATGTTATTGTATTCGTAGGTACTTTCAATACTAAGTGAAACTACTTTGTTTTCGTAACTTCCATCACTTTTGGAAATATGGAACCGTTACAATTTTACAAAATAGACTCCAAAACCCGACTTGTCTATTGTCTGATCTGTAGGATTCTTTTTAATCCTTTACCTTTGTGGAAACTTAAAAAGATAGTATTTACATTATCCACTTATGTTCTTTTGCCAGTCTCTGCACTATTCTTTTGCAATCTATCAATCTGTAAACACTTCCCTTACATCTAGTCTTCTGCCAATTACCTAGGTTCTACTCTGATTTATGCCTGTCAAATTAAGACATTTAATTTCCTGATATAGAATGCTTTTGTATTGTGAAATTTTCTGCAGGGTCATGATATTCTCATGGCTACGATGCTTAATGGAGCTGCAATTATGGATGGAGCTTTACTTCTAATTGCTGCAAATGAGAGCTGTCCCCAACCTCAGACTTCTGAACATTTAGCTGCTGTTGAAATTATGCGCCTCCAGCACATAATAATTCTCCAAAATAAGGTTGATCTAGTTCAGGAAAATGTTGCCATTAATCAGCACGAGGCAATTCAGAAGTTTATTCAGGTTAGTGTAATTGGTTTACCTCTTCACTGTTTCTGTGCTTGATCTTAAGGCTGTTTCACTAGACCTTACTTCAAACCTTGTTCAGGGAACTGTTGCTGATGGTGCCCCAGTTGTACCAATCTCTGCGCAACTGAAGTACAACATTGATGTTGTGGCTGAATATATTGTGAAGAAAATTCCCATTCCTGAAAGGAATTTCATTTCACCACCAAATATGATAGTCATCCGATCATTTGATGTTAACAAACCTGGTTTTGAAGTTGATGATATCAGAGGTGGTGTTGCTGGTGGCAGTATACTGAAGGTATGTTCTTATATTCCATAAAGCAAACAAATGCTACAGGCACACCTTCTCTTCTTTTGCGGTTCATGTTAATTGACCAAGGGCACAAATTACTAACCCAATAGATGTTCTTTTGTTTCTACCCGATGCTTATGCTAACCTTCATATAGAGATGAAAATTTGATTGGAAGATGGATTGTCAAATGAGAAAGTAAACTTTTTTCTGCAGGGTGTCCTAAAGGTAAATCAACTCATTGAGGTTCGTCCTGGTATTGTTGTCAAGGATGAGAGTGGCAACATTAAGTGTACCCCAATATATTCAAGAATAGTGTCATTGTTTGCTGAGCAAAATGAACTACAATTTGCTGTGCCCGGAGGCCTCATTGGAGTTGGAACAACTATGGATCCAACACTGACTCGTGCTGACCGATTAGTGGGGCAGGTTCTTGGAGAGGTTGGATCACTTCCTGAAGTGTTTGTTGAGCTGGAGGTAATTTCACTTAGATAACACTTCTTAGAACAGAAAGAGCATGACTTCTATTCTTCTTCCAAATGACATCACTTTGTAATGCAGGTAAATTTCTTTTTGCTCCGCCGTCTTCTGGGAGTGAGAACAAAGGACTCAGAAAGGCAGGGTAAAGTCTCGAAGTTGGCTAAGGGAGAAATCCTCATGTTAAACATAGGGTCTATGTCAACCGGCGCTCGTGTTGTCGCTGTCAAGAATGTATTTGCAAAACTGCAATTGACATCACCAGTGTGTACCAGCAAAGGTGAGAAAATTGCTCTTAGCCGGAGAATCGAGAAGCACTGGCGTCTTATTGGTTGGGGCCAAATCCAAGCTGGTATTACTCTTGATGTTCCACCTTGCCCCGTCTGAGTACGCAACCAAATTACTACCGAGTGACAGGAAAAAACTAGTGAAACAACTCGATTTTGGGATTTAGATGTGGGAAGGCAGACAGTTGCTAGGAACTATTTTTGTCCGGCGTAGGAAAAAAGATTATTTGAAATTTCGGATACTCTATAATCTGCAATATTTCACTTTCTTATTTGTGACTTCTTTTTCTCTTTTTCTTCTCTCCCCCCCCCCCCC